AAAAAAAAAAAAAAAAAAAGGATGGATGGATGGATTGATTTGATTGATTGTCCTTAGTTGGACAACAGAGAATTGAAGCCTTCAGGTGCTTCAAACGGTGCCATAAGACTGGAGCAGGAGCGGAGAAGAGTTCAGCTCAGAACCATGAAGTGAGAGGAGGGAGGAAGGGGGGTTTAGGACACCTGACAGAATCAGAGCTGCTGCACACAACCTGCTGTTCTTCTCCAAAATAGTAATTTTATTAAGAGTTTACAACTTTAGGTAAATGTTGATGTATAACAATCCATTAAAATACACCAAAATGCAGGAAGTGGCATCTCTGTTGTTCAAAATTTTCTGTGAGAGGACACATGGAGCCAATCTTCCCCCCACGTGCACCCCACCCCCCAAGAGAGACATGCATTGAGTAGCTATGTGAATGCCCAGGTATGACTAGTGATGCACCGATCCACTTTTTTTTACTTCCGATCCGATCCCGATACCTACAACTGGATATTGGCCGATGGCGATACTATTCTGATATCATAATCATTATTGATTTTATATCAGGCTGTAATAATCTCCTCTCAAGTACAGTTTGTACGAATATATGCATGTATGTCCAAAAAGGCAACTTGAGATGAGTTTTATTAATGTTGGATAAGTTTCAAAGTTAGAATTAAATCCTGCTAACAAAAAACTTGTGTTTTTATTCCTAGCTTTAAAGTGGATATTAAAGTGATTAAATGGCTTCAAACTTCTGCTAAGTTCATGGCATAAACCAACACAGACATGTTCTTGTTTTTAGTATTTTACATCGCTTTATAATGTAGCTGTTTTTGTTTCTTTTTTTATACATATATAATTTTCTTTTATTTTTCAGTTCATACTCTTTTTTTATGATTGTCTATTCATATAGCACCAAGTCACAACAGAAGTCATGTCAGGGTACTGTACAGAAACATTAAAATAATTTAACAGAAACATTCATATATAAAAATAATAATTTAAGACTATTTATCTGAGCAGACTGCTTTGAATTCAACTCCATCACAGAACTCTCTTCTTGAGCTGATAAATATATCATGGAGGGTAAACATAAAATATATCTTGGCTATAAATATTTAATCAAGCTGTGAAGCAGACAGTCTGATTTCAGTCAGCCACGGTCAATCTGCTCCTCCTCCGAGACATGCAGACTGAGCGCAGCTGACTGAAATCAGACTGTCTGCTCCGGACTGAAATAAAGCTTGTTAGCCCACCAAAAAAAAAAATCCATACATTAGCCGCAGGGTTCAAAGCCAGTGAAAAAAGTAGCGGCTTATAGTCAGGAAATTTCTCATCCCCCATACCTTGCCCCTAAAACTGTGAGTGTGTCTCTGACCTCTTTCCTCTTGCAAGCAGCTTTGCACAACAGGCTCTGAGCAGCAGTTGCAGGGAGGGTGTGGTCATCATACAGGTCTACAACAGAAACATACATAATTCCTGTAAGAATAACTTGGTTGTGTGTTTAAAAGTATTTAATTTATTGTCTATGAGAATTTACTGATATGGGTTTTTAGGCACTAAAAACATACAGAACACTTTCCAGATTCACTAGCCAGTAGTACAGCCTAGACAGAAAGCAAAATCCACAGAAGCTGTCTGTGGGCTTAGTGAGTTCAACCACTTCAAAGATAACAGATGTTTGCAGTCATAGTTTACAGTCATACCAGGATGTTTACACACTTACTGAACTTCATGCGGATGTATTCGTAGGGATCTTCCTGCCATAGCCTCTCATCTTCATCTTTGTAGCACATAAGAGGGAAAATAACCTCTTGGCAAATGGTCTGAAAGGTAAAAAAAAGCCTTGAGAAATTCCTACTAACTGTTGAATTTAATAGTTATGAGGAAAAAGTATTAATAAGATGGGAAATTTCAATCTGATATTTGGACTGACAAAATGACAGAATAAAAATATTGGTAATTTTATGTCTTAGGAAAATCAAAGGCAAAGTTCCAATAAAACTTCATTCAAAGATTTACAGCAGGCTGGCTTGAAACACGTCAATAAGCTATTTATATGAAAGATCTTGGTGGAAGGCCTCAGACTGATGAAGTCTTTCGGATGAAAGATGAAATGTCTCTTCCAAAAATAATCTGTGACATGATTTATATATATATATTTTTTTTGTGATTCAGTACTGTACTTTTGGGCAGCACGGTGTTGCAGGTGGTAGAGCTGCCACCTCTCAGCGAGAAGGTTGCCCCGGTTCAAATCAAGGCCGGGGGCCTTTCTGGGTGGAGTTTGCATGTTCAGCATGTTCTCTCCGTGCTGTGTGGGTTTTCTCTGGATACTCCAGTAGAAAGGGTCTGTGGGAGTACTCCGGTACTCCCACAGACCAAAAACATACATGTTAGGCTGATTGGTAACTAAATTGTCTCTAGGTGAGAGTGAGAGAGTAAATGGTTGTCTTGTTTGTCTCTGTGTCCCTGTGATGGACTGGAGACCTGTCATGGGTGTGCCCCTCCTCTCACACAGTGATGGCTGGACATGGGCGCTAGTGACCCCCGTGACCCAAAAGGGAAGAAACAGGTAATGATAATGGATGGATGGATGCTTTAGTTTTACTGGAGATCACAACTGTGTGATTACATGACTAAATTTCATATACAGAAGGGAACAGACTTTCTGAGCATACATAAAGAAGTGTGTGTGTGTGTGGGGGGGGGGGGTGGGTCGCGGGGACCACAAACGACCATGTCCTGCCATCACGGGGGGGGGGGGGGGGCACAGCTAATCAAAAAGTTAGCTTTGCTAACCACAAATTTGCTAACCAAAAATTACCTTTGTCAACACTAAACCGCTAAACAGATTTTAAAAAATTATCAGAAGCTAATGCTAAAGCACTAACTTATCATCCACTGCCGTTGCTGACACTATAAGACTCTAAAGTGACAACATGCTGGTGAAGATTCTCAGTCATCCAGGACATGATGAATTCAAAAAGTGTTCAATACAAAAACAACTGGACTTTATTTGTAACAGAAGACGTTTCGCTCCTCATCCGAGGAACTTTCTCAATTCAAAGAGCAGAGAGTGAGGGGTTCAGGTTATAAGGCTGAGTGAGATAAGACACACGCACATATGTAGATTGGCAGTTCACACCTAAACACCTAAACAGTAGGTCTTTGTTCATCTAATTCACAGACGAGGCCCCTCTGTTCCCGTCAAGTGTGAAAACCGGCTGGGAATCTGTTTTAAAGTTGCATTATATGTTTTTGAAAGTGGGAATCTGAGGCCTCCTCTTCTGTTAAGAGACGGCTTTTCTCTTTTTACATAAATTGCTTCCTTCACCCCCCTCTCAAACCATCTGTGTTCTCGGTCCAAAATGTGCATATTTTGGTCCTCAAAAGAGTGTCCCTTATCTGTGAGATGGAGGTGAACTGCGGAATTTTGTCCAGAGGAGGTGGCTCTCCTGTGTTGAGCCAAACAGCTAAACAGCCTCTTCACAGACGCATGGCTTTAAAACTTTAAAACAGATTCCCAGCCGGTTTTCACACTTGATGGGAACAGAGGGGCCTCGTCTGTGAATTAGATGAACAAAGACCTACTGTTTAGGTGTTTAGGTGTGAACTGCCAATCTACATATGTGTGTGTGTCTTATGTGCGTGTGTCTTATCTCACTCAGCCTTATAACCTGAACCCCTCACTCACTGCTCTTTGAATTGAGAAAGCTCCTCGGATGAGGAGCGAAACATCTTCTGTTACAAATAAAGTCCAGTTGTTTTTGTATTGAACGCTTTTTTAATAAAGTGACAACGTTGAAAGTGAACACAACTCAAAACGGTTCATAAATCACAGGTAAAGCATCCATGTCTCGTTCAGAGGTGAGCTTTCAGAAATTAATCTGGTCCATCGGAACCAAAGAGGTGAGGCAGAACTCTGCTGTGCTGAAGCAGAGTGATACATTCAATGTGTGTCGAACATCTTCCTTGTGTCATTTACGATTATTGATTATTATGAATTAACTCACTTTAGCGATCCTGTTTTTGGTTAACTACTTTTATAAACTAACTACAAAGTTGCTGGGTGTGATATTCTCTCGGTAATAAATCTGTTCATATAAAAGTAAAGATGTGTGAAATCATATATGAGAGAGTCATGTCCCAGAGACAGTGTGAGTATTGCAAAGCATGCTGGGTAGGAATCGTGTGTGAAATGTTTCTGTTTACGATGTTTCTGAGGGTGAAAATGGGTTTTCATGTTACATTCTCATCTTACATTTGAAAATCACATTAAGCATCTGTTTAAAACCTGTTTCTTCCATCTTAGAAATATCTCCAAACTGCGCCCATCTCTCACTTTTGCTGATGCAGAGAAACTCGTCCATGCTTTTGTCTCCTCCAGGCTCGACTACTGCAACTCCCTGTTTACTGGGATCCCCGGCAAAAACCTTCAGAAGCTTCAATATATTCAAAACAGTGCAGCCAGGATTTTATTGAGAGCTCGTAAATTTGAACATATTACACCCATTCTCCATAACCTCCATTGGCTTCCTGTCACCTACAGAATTCAGTACAAAATTGCTCTCATTACCCATCAGTGTTTATATGGAAATTCACCAGATTATCTGAAGGACCTTCTTGCTCCATATTCATCCACCCGGTCCCTACGATCACAGAACAGTCATCTCCTCCACCTGCCACGAACTAAATTAAGAACCATGGGAAATCGGGCATTCTGTGTGGCTGCCCCCCGCCTCTGGAACTCCCTCCCTGAATATCTGAGAGCTCCACAATCATTGACTGACTTTAAAAAAGGCTTAAAGACTTTTCTTTTTAAGCAAGCCTATTCTGCCTCCACATGATTGTATCATTGATTTTAGTTGTTTGTATCATTGATTTTAGTTGATTTTATCACAGATTTTAGTTGATTTTATCACAGATTTTAGTTGATTTTATCATTGATTTTAGTTGATTGTATCATTGATTTTAGTTGATTTTATCACAGATTTTAGTTGATTTTATCATTGATTTTAGTTGCACTCTGTAGCACTTTGAGATTTTTGTTAATGAAAAGTGTGTTACAAATTAAATTCATTATTATTATTATTATTATTTTCCTGTTCTGGTTTGGTTTGGCATTTATGTCACAGTCTGTTATTGGATAAATATACATATCTATGTATATGTACATACATGTATATATATATGTGTATACATATATACATATTTGTATACATATACATATACATTAAGGGGCAGCTGTGGTTGAGCGGTTAGAACAGCCATCCTCCAATGGAAAAGTTGGGGGTTCGATTCCACCAGCAGTCACATGTTGGGACCCTGGGACCCTGTGCACATAATTTCGCTCCACCACATGTACCACATGTGGTGCGAATGACGATAAAGAATCTCTGACTCTGATGTTGAAGTGTCCCAGGGCAAGACACTGAACCCTTCATTGCCTCTGATGTGTGTCCCATCGGTGTATAAAAAAGATCTAAAAGCACTGATTATTCTCTATAGAATGATTTGTTCAGGTAAGCTTTGTAGAGATGTAGTACAGTACTGTATAAATGTGTGTAGAGGTAAATGAGGTCACAGATTGTGTTGTAAAGCGCTGAGTTTCATGATTAGATAGAAGGGTGCTATATAAGTACAGTCCCTTTATCATTTACATATATGTTCCTCTTTTAGGTAGGTAGTAACTATAACTACATTTTACTGACCACATCAACTCTGTGGATAAATACATCAAGTTCACACGAGAAGATGTAAAAAATGGCAGGTTGGCTTTCTTGGACTGTGAGGTCTCAGTCTCTGATAGAGGACATTTGCAAACTGAGGTGTACTGCAAACCCACCCACACAGACCAGTATTTGCAGTTTGACTCCCATCACCCTTTGGAGCACAAGTTAGGAGTCATCAGGACTCTGTATCACAGAGCAGACAGCGTCCCCACTAGCTCAGGAGCCAGGCAGAAGGAGAAATCCCACACAAGACAGGCTCTAGAGCAATGTGGATATCCTAAATGGGCCTTCCTAAAAGCAGAGAAGAAACCCAAACAGGACTCCAGTCAGCCAACAGGTGAAAAGGAGGAACCCAGACCCAGACCAGTGGTCATTCCATATGTTGAGGGAGTTTCAGAGAAACTGAGACGTTTATTTTCTAAACATAACGTCCCAGTGGCTTTTAAACCCCAAAATACATTACGGCAAAGACTGGTTCATCCCAAAGATCCAGTCCCCCGGCACAAACAGAGCAATGTTGTGTATGCTGTTCAGTGTCAGGAGGGCTGTGATCAGTCTTACATCGGGGAAACAAAACAGCCACTGGCCAAAAGGATGGCCCAGCACAGAAGATCAACATCATCAGGCCAGGACTCTGCGGTCTACACTCATCTCCAGGCCAGCGGTCACTCTTTCAGGGATGAAGATGTTCACATCCTGGACAGAGAGGAACGATGGTTTGAGAGAGGAGTAAAGGAGGCCATCTTTGTGAAAAGAAATCGTCCATCGTTAAACAGGGGTGGAGGCCTCCGGGTTCAACTGTCCCCCTCTTACAATGCTGTTATTGCTAGTATCACTCAGCCCTCTGTGAACAGTAAACAACCATCAGTGTGCTAATGATCCATTGTTAGGCTGATGGTCCTTCTTGAGCATGTGATCAGCTGGTTTTGTTTGTCAGCAGCAAAACTGGTTGATCCACTCTGAGACGGTGCTATTTAAGAGACTGAGCTGAATACAGCTCCTCAGACTGAGGAAGTCTCTCGGATGAGAGACGAAACGTTTCTACATTTTTTGGTTTTTTTGCTTTGTTTTGTTTTTTTGAATGTCCAGAGGAC